TATACTCGATTATTTGACTGGCAACGTTACATTCGTACGCATTTTCTCTACAATATAAATCAATTGTCTATTAAATAACTCAGACCCAACTGTTCGTTTTAAGTGGTATGATTAGGCATGGTCAAATCTATGTCTCTATAAAAGAAAGATTTTAATAAATCCTTGGGTTTCAAAGTTATAGGCATTCGAATGTGCACTGGCTACGTTACACTATTTGGAAGTTCAATGATGGCTTGTGTCAGATAGTTCGAAATTTCTGCGAAATGGGTGAACGAATATTGCTAGTTTTTCAGTATGTCACCTACAATTAATGCAGGAGGACATCTGCATACTCAGTTGTTGTAAATTTTAAGTTGTTAACAATTTGTGCTCATATAATTTGGGCACTGGTAACGTTACACAAAACACTGGTCACGTTACAAGTACGGCTCGCTTCTACAAGGTTTAACCAAAGGGCTTTTCCTTTTCCATTTTTTCTTCGCATTACTATTATGTCGTCATAAACAAATCGCACACCGTCTTCAAAAGAGTCACAACTCAAAATTTGGCATTTTTGAGATTATGCGCCAAAATGTACACAGATCTTTTATTTAACTTTCAGTAAAAGCTGGAGCAAATTTTTGTTATAATTTGTTAAAAAAACCTCAGGTAAAGTCGCCTTTGCCCATATGATTATAATGTGCTACGAAATAGTTTTTCGCATTTTCTGACAAACGTATTATTTTGAGTTGTGACTCCTTTGAGGACGGTGTGCGAAATGTTTGAGCTAAAATTGGGAATCTTCTATAGAAGGATAAAAAAATATAACTCGATTATCCTTAAAAATCCTAACTAGGTGAAAAATCGTCCTATAGAAAAATTTTTGACCGGGAAATCTTTGTATTATAATAATTATAATAGATTGGCGCTTACATATATGTTAGTATTTGGCCGAGCCTCTCCTCCGACTTGTGGCGTGCGCCTTGATATTGTCACACAATTCGGAGGGACCTACAGTTTTACGCCGACTCCGAACGGCGATTGTATTTTTATGAGAAGCTGTTTTTCATGGCAGAAATACACTCGGAGGTTTGCCATTGCCTGCCGAGGGACGACCGCTGTTGAGAAAAAACGTTTTTTCTGTATTTTTTGCGATGTTGCTTTGACCAGGGCTTGAACCCAGGTGTTGATGAGTGAAAGCGCGCACTGCTTACCACTACACCACGGCCTTTGTATTATCATCGCAAATAATATTTATTTAACCTTACTGCAAAAACCACTTATGTTTCTCAACTTAAAATAGGCATAAGTTCAACTAAAGTGTTCTGTCTTTTCTTTTTAATCCGTTCTACAAAAATCTTAATGCATTTATCGCAGTTCTATAGAAGAATTCTCGCATAAGTAATTTTTAACAAAATAAACTCTTCATAGTTTGCTGTAGACTTGTATTAGATTCTGTAAAATTGTAGTGATAGGAATACAATCACGTGAAAGGGGAAGATACCTTATCAGTTTAACACGTTGCAAAAAATTTCATTGAATTCCAGGCAATAATCAAAATCTTTAGAGATAAAGATTTCAAAGAATATTTTACGAATGTTAGCGTCGCTTTATTTAAATAGAATAGTTATCAAAATTTAGTAGTACAATACTCAATTCGAAATTGTCCTCCCAAACACTTTCTTAAATATGTCTCATTTTTTATTGCTAAAATGAAATGAGAATAGTTGTCAAGTCAATAAAAAAAAGTTTAATAAAAGAAAAACATTGGCCACGTTACAGTTATTTATTAGGTAGTTGTGCAACGAAGTCAGCTTCGATTTCTTTTTTTTCATATGGCATACATAGGATATCGACAATATTAAGAAAACATGTTAAATATCCTTTTGTAAAGTATACTTAAGTATCCGAAAAACAACTTTTTTAGTTTTTCACTGGCTACGTTACACTTAACATTTGCGGTACATTTCATTACGACTTAATAGGAGTTCTAAAAAACTTTTTTAGTAACTTGGAACGTATGTATGTATTCTGTTAAACTAATTTATTGTCTATCGTTCAGAACTTTATCAGCCGAAACAAACAAAGGAAAGCTTATGTTTTTGTACTTTTCCTTGTAGTATTGAAAAATGTTTTTAGGTTCGTGAAAAATCTTTCGACAAAAGGACCAAAATATTAAACACAGATATACTGAATACTCATAATCAATACGTACAATATTTGAAAAAAAGAAAAAATCGGACTGGTTTACTTTCCTGTAGAATCGACCATATGGACTACGGCAGCTCACGGCAGTGTATAGGGTGTTACTACTCCAAGACATTTATGAAGCTAACGAATATCCTTAAAGCAACCTTAAGACACATAACAGCTCGCTACTAACGAATCATTGCAGGGCGGAAGTCCAATTTAATACCGTAGGAATAAGCTCAAATGATTCCTATCGTTACTACAGTACGGCGGCAGAGATACCACTGCTTCGCCCTCTAGAATGTGGCGTGGTCGCTAAAAGACGACAAACAAATGTCGAGGAACTATGGCCAGAGGTGAGGCACATTTACACTCTGCTGGGTTTAATTAAGGCCCTTAGTATGAGTTGCATTCGATTTTCGATCTTCGCTGGCTATCGAAGATCGAAAATGAAATTCGTATTATGAGCTATGCAAGCGTGTCGAAATTTTCGTTGAGTATCGAATTTTCTGTCGAACAGAATTTTGCTTTCGTTGGTGTAGCGAAGTGTTAGAAAGTTGTGAAAAATGTATGATTTTGCATTTGTTTTCTTACTTTTTGGCGGGTAGACACTAACTTTAAACAATTTTTATTAATTTTATGCAGTTCTAACGTCGTGCATACTAAACACAAAGGCTGGTTTTACTTATGAAAGAAAATCCCAAAGGCTGGTTTTACTTATGAAAGAATACTCTGTTGGCACGATCTATGAGAACAAAATCATAGAGCTGTTTACAGTTTTAATATATTTTAAATAGATTTGGATCACAAAATTTCTTAAATATATTGTATGTCAAAATATATTCGAAAGACTACACTTAAACTCTCTCAAAATTTTTCCGCTCCTGGCCAGTTTTCTAAGCTCTCACCCTCTGACGAATCGTTGAACCAGAACTCCGTTGTACTAATTTTTACCACGTTTTTATAAACTCGCTTTATTTTTTATTTCATTTTCATTTGCACAAATTTACATATGTGCATATGTATAAGCACACTATTTAGTTTGCTCGATTTGTAAACAAAGCTTCTGCGCGGTGAAAATATACTATTATGAACAACCTAAACGAGCGAAATTCACAATAGCGATCAGCACTTTCGACCACAGTCGAAGATCGAATGCAACTCATAATAAGGGCACATCCTTCATTATATTTAACATACTACGCACGCATACAAGGACGGCATCGATTTCTGGCATTTCTGAGGCGTACAGTTTTAGGAAGGCATGGTCATTTTCCGATGTCGTAGGTGAAATGATAAGTAACGTAAAACCTAAAATGGGACAGTTAGGCTCCGTAGATGTTTATAAGAATGCTTCATTCTTTGGTGGCATTCTAAAAACCTCGAAAACGATTAAATTGAATATTTTTAGTCAGGGAATCATGAAAAAATTTTGTCCGCTGTTTAATTTGCAGAGGTAAATAATTAAGGATAAACGACACTTTATGTACACACATTTGTTTTAATAATTTCCAGCGAATTTCACCTACAGAGCGCCCACTGTGCATACCACCCTCAAGTGTAAATACTCTGAAACTACTGCACACATCCATACATACTTTATATATAGACAAATAAAAGCAAATACAAATGCTTTAAGAATACAAGGGAAAGCCAATGTAACATCGTTAACGGCCACAGTTATAGGGGCAAAATCACAGAATACGAGCATGTAACGGGAAGAAAAGAAAACAGTAAAAAACGCGGTTACAGCGTAACAAAATCTAACAACAAAAGCAATTAACTTGTTTATTTTAGTAGAGAGAAGAGAAGTCTCATTTATTTAACTTAGTTAATTGCTTCATCATGAAGAACCTGGCGCAGTTCGTTGACAGCGCCAGCAGCGTAACGGTGTTAATACCAGCCGACACACGTACATGCAGACAGTTAGTTCGTGATGTGAGCTCACAAGCCTGAAGCTCACATTTTAATTGTACCAAAGTGCGCACTAAAGGCAATTTTGCTCGCTCAGTTGCTCAATAGCAATGTGGTCAGCTGAAATTGCTAAGAGGCGGGCGGCAAATTTGAAATAATACAATCTGTTTTCGAGTACCCGAAAAAAACAAGAAAAAAGGATTACAAAATTAGTCCTTGTTTATGGATTCTATAGATGGGTATTTTGGCGTGTTTGCTTAAACTGAAAATCCTTGTCTCACCAAATTAGCATAAGGAGAGCAAAAAAAGGTTGCGAAATCAAATAAATCAAAATTTTGCTACAGTACCTACTATTTATACATGTATTTGCACAAACATATGTATGTATGCACTTGAATAGACATACCCACTGGGAAAATAGGTAAGCACCTTGCGAGGTAAGCCATGTTTTCTTTCAGTTTTTAGTACCAAAATTGTCATCATGGCCAATGTCATCTACTAGTAAAGGGCAAAATGAACACCTCCGAAGACACATTACGTTGTCAGTTGCAAAATAACGTGCAGCCGAAGTTATTTCCAAGCACCGAACTACTCCGAGCGACTGCTCTGCATTACACGTAACTTACTTTGTAAAGCGGCTCAGAAGTATGTCTGATACCAAATGTACATTCTAAATTCCTACTTACATAAGGCGGCCATGCCTTTGTAAAAGTAAGGGACGTTCGGCAGGGAAATGGTAATGACTGCCAGGTGAAGAGTAAGTTGCTAATAAGGTATTATTACGTGCTCCTAATTCCCACTGGGTACATACATAGATATGTAAGTATGTATGTACATATGTATGTAAGTATTTATGTACACATTTTAAAATAAAATAAGACGTAAATAAATACATTGAGCGATTTGATCGAACTTACGATTAGCTGTTGTGAAGAACGGCAACGGTAGAGCGGAGAGCAGGAAAAATGTGAAACAAGCCAAACGCGGTATGTAGGACGATGAGGTTACTCTAGAGGACGTCAAACTGCCACCGGCGGTTGATAGCATTCCTTTTACAGCCATTTTATTACCAAATGTATTTGTATAACAGTTTGTTGGTTTGCAGCCTGTAGCTATGCGAGGATGAAGACCGCGTCGGAAGCACATTATGAAATTGATTGGTCCTTCACTAGTGTTTGCTGCGGAGCGACACCAACTAAAATAAAAGAATTCACACAAACGCATTGAAAAAACAAACAATTAATAATGGAAATCGTTTCGGTAGAGCAGAAAAGTTTACAATTATTTGTCAGTTGAAATTTACTTATTTTTACTTCGAAAGAAGACGAAAACTACGGATATGCAAGCTGTGGGAATCATGATAAAACATTGTTATGTTTCAGACATCTGCAGCGGGTGCATGATTTTCGTGTATACTCGATCATCTAACAAAACCCGTTTTGCATCGTTCTCTGTATACGAGCAGAAGTACTGTTCGTTATCGACTGAGCTCAAGACGAACATGTTGGCCACAACACCCGATTGCTTTTCATACATACTTGATTGGGTTCGGGTGCTTTGCAGCTCAATATACCCGGGTGTTCGAGTTTCAACCCGAGTGTGCACAAAATTTTCTTGATTGGCTTATGACGTTTTTGTTTCTACAAAAAATGTTGCCTTCTCATCGCGGTGTTCTTAGTTTTTGTGCGTAGAGGGTAAAGAGAAGGTTGAATTTTTCGGTAGTTTGTTTAAGTGTACATTTAACCATTTCTTATATTTTTGCTCATACAAAATGCGGCATCACGACGCCTACATCCATTTAGGTATAAATGTGTGTAGATCGGCAATGCCCAAGCCCTATACACTCGGTGCACATTTATTTTTTGTAAAAGTACTTATGTACCTACATAGTTTTAGGCTGTGTTCTAATATATACACACACAGCTTTCCACGCGAAACTATACGAAATAGATGCAAAAACATTTTTGTCTACTTCGCTTCTAATTTTTTCATTGCGTATGCACAAGCACAAAGCAACAACATTTTCGTATGCTTTGTGGGAACATATTGGCGCCAGTTACCTTCAGCGTAAATTTCTTTGTTGTCCTGCATTTTATCGCAATGTTCGGGTGTCCGTTTCATTGTTACACAAATTTTCGGGTTAGCTGCGGGTGTCCGAGTGTGGTGTTCGCTTGTGCTCAATTTATAGCGAGGGTGATCGAACAGACTCGTTCGTAACCAAAGCAGCTGTCGGGTATGCATCTCGATCGAACACATAGTAGCCGAGTGTGGCGTTCGCTTGTGCTTGATTTTTAGTGAGTGTGATCAAAAAGGCTCGATCATACTCAAACCTGTTCTCTGTTATGTTTTTATCATGGTGGGAATGTAAGGAAAAATAAGTGAAATGTTGCAGACTGTCGAGCTATTTGTACTTACAAATTTTATGGGTACATTTGTACGCATGTAAGTATGTAAATTAGTGTACCTCGCGATCCAAACTAACTTATTTATTATAATTTATGTATTCAAGCTTTTTAATGGGTTTTTTTTTATACCCGAGTGCACTTATGCACTAGGGTATTATAACTTTGTTCACATAACGGTTGTCTGTAACAGGCAAAACGAATCGAGATAGATATAGACAAATGTATACGTAAATGATCAGAATGAAAAGAGAAGTCGATTAAGCCATGTCTGTCTGTCCGTCCGTCCGTCCGTGTACACGATAACTCGAGCAAAAATTGAGATATCACGACGAAATTGTATGTAGATTTCCTTTTAACCAAGGTAAGGTGGTATTCAAAATGGACGAGATCGGACCGTAACCACGCCCACTTCCCATATAACGGTAATTTCCAGAAATACGGAAACTGCGATATTTTAGTAACTACCCAAGCTTTTCAACTGAAAATTGACATTTACAATGATTTTTAGATGCAAAATAAGAATATTTAAAGTGTTTGAAAAATGGGCGTAGCCACGCCCACTTATGATTACATGTGTATATCTTGGTGACCGCTAAACCAATTTCTCCCAAACTTGGCGCAGTTGTTCGCCTTAGTACAGCATGCCAAACGGCTGAAAATTTTTAAAGTCAGACAATAACCACGCCCACATCCCATATAATGGTAATTTAGAAATACGAAATTTTCCATAAATCAGTAAATACAGAAGCTAATTTATTCAAAATTGATGGTTGCAATAATTCTTTAGCAAAAAATACGTTTATGATAAAATTTTGGAAAATGGGCGTAGCACCGCCCACTTATGTTCAGGTATGTATATATCTCGGTACCCGATCGATCAATTTGTGCCAAACTTTTGTACCACTTTTCTTATAACGGTAAATTTCAGAAATGCTTGAAACTTCGATATTTCGAAATTAAAGGACGCTAATTTATTCCAAATTGATGCGAACTACAATCACTTGAGAAGAAGTATAATTATTTGGAATTTTGGAAAATGGGCGTAGCACCGCCCACTTATGTTCAGGTATGTATATATCTCGGTACCCGATCGATCAATTTGTGCCAAACTTTTGTACCACTTTTCTTATAACGGTAAATTTCAGAAATGCTTGAAACTTCGATATTTCGAAATTAAAGGACGCTAATTTATTCCAAATTGATGCGAACTACAATCACTTGAGAAGAAGTATAATTATTTGGAATTTTGGAAAATGGGCCTGATACCGCCCACATATGACTATATAAGTTTATCTCATTATGTCTAACTGAACGTTCTATCGAAGATGTTAAAGATAGCGGTAAAACCACCCCTGCTTACCATGTATGCATTAGAGTTTTGACACTCCCTTAGCTCCCTTACAAAAGCTTTGCACACACACACGAACCCACACACAGTGCCTTGCTAAGGGAGCCGATTTTGTCAAGAGGGAGCGAGAAAACTGTTTTTTGAGCAAACCTTTTATTATTGAATCATGGCACCGGGTGTCTAATGTTCGGCTCCGCCCGCAGTCGTCGGAGAAGCCATGTTTCACGCGAAAAATAGGAAGGGCTGTTACGATTATAATAAAGCTGCGGGATCGTAGTATTGTTGTAATGCTAAATCCGAATATGCCATAAAATTTATAGTTTGACAGTTGAGAGAGTTGTTACGTTTCTTGACATACTAATCATGAATTTCATGTCAAGTTAAAACCTTGACAATTTACAGCTGTCAAATGGACTGCGAATTTTTCTAAAAATAACAAAATCTTTTTAAAAATGCCACTGATTAGGTTTTTAGACATGCTGATCACGAAATTTATGTCAAATTAAAACTTTGAGAGTTGACAGTTGTCAAATAAACTGTTAATTTTTCTAAAAATTAGCAAATATTTTTTAAGATGCTACTGATAAGGGTTTTAGACATGCTAGTTACGAATTTACGTTTTAGACATGCTAGTTACGAAATTTCCCCAAGAACTAAACGTACAAAGTTTTAAGGCTCACTGATCTCGAGTTCTGTATCACATTCAAACTTTTTCAGTTGAAAACTGTCAAATCAACTATAATTTTCAGTTGAGTAACACAAGATATTTGTTTAGTAAAATTTTATTTATTATATGCGAGGGAACATATCTAAGATGAGTTTATGATCACATTATGAAATAATGACAGTAATTTTATTTATAAATTAGGGATAGTTGGGGCCGTCTACTATATGTTCAGCCCAAACAATTTGATATAGGCCAAAAATAGTTTTTTACGATTTTTTATTTTATACGAAATTCCTCATTCCCAAAACTTCAGTTCTCTCATTTCTAAATAAAGATATTTAGGTTTGAATTTTTGGAAATTTCCGACGTCATATTTGGTTTTGCATTTTGAATAAAAAAAACTAGTTTGAAATTTGAAATAAGCGAAATTCTAAATACCAAATTTCATTAAAGTTCAGACATTTTTTTAATTCCATACGCCATAATGGATTCGTTTTTGGGTTTTTGAAAATTGAGTTCAATTTTGTTAAAACACATCTTATAAATGATATGATGCTAAATATAGAATAAATTACATTCAGTTTTAATATTTTAACACACCTTATGTTATTTGGAACGACTGCTAAAGTTGGTATAGTAAAATAAAAATGGACGCCACTCTTTTTGGCGCGAGTAAATCCTCAAAGGGACCTTTGCACTAGTTTTTGGTAAAGGAATCAAGATCCTACTCGGCCCTACTAATTATACTTTTTTGAAGAAAAGATTTCTTGAAAAATAAGCCGTGTTATTAAGGTGTTGATAATTAAGCAACCAAGTATTATTATGGTATATTTCACATGAAATCATAAAAAAAAATTTTAAGAAAGTTATCAACGCATAACTGTTAGAATGTACCCCGATCGAATTCGTTGAATTAAATGGATTTATCGGCTTGCTCAGCACATATTATTGAAAATACTAATCAGTTTTGAGTTCGTTGGACATTTCTGGATGAGAATAGCTTTATGCAGGTTAATTTATCACACTTTTAAAATATTCCTTTTTCGCGTTAGACATGATTTCTCCGACCATTGATATAAAAAAGAAAGTAGTTTATTTGTCACTTTTTGTCGTCATATTGGTCACCTGACAATTAAGATAGTTCATGCTACCATACCCAATAGCTAAAATACTTCACGCTTTATTAGAAGTTTGGTTTTTTGCTTAAATACATTTTGTGCTTAGAGATCACCACATCACCTCATCAGACTTATTTTTCTAGACTTAAGCAGGAATCGAGTCCGCATCATCGATGTGCAAAGTCAGAAGTGCTAAGCAGATTAAACATCGATTTCGACGTGATCGACTCCATAAAATATAATAGGGAGTCGATAACGATGTTTAACCTATAGTTACTGTCATTAGCGCACACAAAGGATGGATTTTGGGATGTTAAACAAATTAGGCAATCGTGAAATCTCTATCGAAAATCAGAAACCAGAAATCGAGGAAAATGAACATAAAAGTGTAAAAAAATCATGGAATCAAGTAATTTATTTTTATTGGAACTCTTTTTTAAAATTTTGTTTTACTTTTGAAAGTTGGGCGCATCTAGTTTTTATAGAACTTTTTATTAAGCAAGTATATTTTAAGCAAAAAACACAACCGACTTCAATTTTCATATAGAAATTTAAGAGTAGCGTTAATTTATTCTGGATCCAATGATTGGATCTAAACCAAATTAAAAAATGTTAAAAATGTTTGAGTTCTCTGTTAATTTTATGTAAATAAGG